ATATTTACCATTCTCATTTACTATTTTTTTACTTAGAATTTCTTGACGTGTTTGTGTTAGACTGTTAAGTATAAGGATACATACATCTACACACACACACATATATATAAATGAAATTAATATACAAAAATGTTGTCCAGGAAAGAATCATTAATGGTATATATTTTTATTATTGTCAGACATTCTATGCAAATGAGCGACTCGACACATTTAAAATATAAAAAAAATCATGATTCTCATTTCGGTATTATCTGCACGATGCTTCTGATAAGGCGTTGAATAACAAAAGAATTGCGCGTTTTCAGTCTTATATACATATAACAATAGTTTTTATTTTTACTTCACCAATAAGCGTATAACTTTGCATAATTTACTCGCGCATAATATTTATATATTTACCATTCTCATTTACTATTTTTTTACTTAGAATTTCTTGACGTGTTTGTGTTAGACTGTTAAGTATAAGGATACATACATCTACACACACACACACACACATATATATATATATAAATGAAATTAATATACAAAAATGTTGTCCAGGAAAGAATCATTAATGGTATATATTTTGTATTGTCAGACATTCTATGCGAACGAGCGACTCGACACATTTAAAATATAAAAGAAATCATGATTCTCATTTCGGTATTATCTGCACGAATGCTTTTTTAAATCGCATTAAGAGATTTCGATGTAATATGTACATAATGAAATATCGAAACGCGCATTAATCGGATGATCGTGTTTCATGCACCACTTTTATAATTACTTTCCTTTCTCTTTAATCCGCGGTTAAATGTAATTCTTCTTCCCCGCGAGAATAATAACAATGCGTAATTAATATCACGTACGACGAGAATCATGTTACAGATCGACGCACGTATTTAATATTGCGATAGTTTATAGTAATCGTCTCTCATGATGCGGCTTTTATATGCATTCCGCACGCGACATACACACGTATAGGTATACGTATCTCCCTAGAATTTGCCGAATGGAGTTGAGTAAATATGTAGGAAATAGTATACCACGCAAATTGTGTTCTGATACAATTGTTGCGCGATATATATGTACCAAGCATAGGTGCAGCGACACGATATTGCTCTTCAAATATACACATGCCAGATAGCTATATTTTCGCGCGAAAATCGTATCAATCCGGTCGAATAGAATTTTCTTTATAGTGCGAGATGTCGCATGGGAGCGAGAAATATATATACTGTATTATTTTCTTGCTTATATTTTTAATATCATCATATTTTCGCGTATCGCTCTGATGAGTATCAATCTGATTATCGTCATTGAGGTGATTATTTCGAATTTATCGCCGTGAAAAGCTTGATCCTGCTCTATTTACTTTTATTTATTAAATGTTGAAATGTTTTCATCCGATATAATATCATTATCGTTTTTACAAGAGGATTCTCATATGAGAGGAAAAAGCCACTTTATTATTTTATGTTTTAAATGGTACAATTATCGTTTTTAATTACCGCCTGTGATCAATGCTATAATTATTATCACGATGAGTATTTTATGCGAGAGGGAGAGGGCGTCATTTCTTTTCGCAGCGTTTATATTTTATATTAATGGCAGAATATTTTAATTAACGTTTATTCAAAGACCTGTGTAATTCGAGCGATTTGCTCGCAGTAATTTGCGTAATTGTTTCCATAGGAGTGTGCAGAGATTAATTTCGTAAAAAGCCACTTATATGCCCGCGAGGCATTAACGACACCGCCATTTTCCTTTGCAGCTCGATAGCATCCATTCGAGCGGTCAACGAGAAACGTCTTTCCTTGAAATACGCGACATAATTGCTAAAACGGGACTAGTTATTCAAACGGAAATGCATAGAAACATAGAAACGTCCGTACGTTGTCACCGAAACGCCCAAGGGCTTCAACTTGGTAATTGTCATTCAAAGATCTCGTCGCACGGTGCGGTTAGTTATATACGTTCGGACTATGGCTAGCTTTTGTAGGATATTGTTATAGAGCTTTGGACGCACACGCACACATCGGATATTGTCGCGGTCATAGATTCTACGACCAATTCGGAGCCAACCTTCCTCGCTTTATAGGAGATTGCAATTTGCGCGCGACAGGTTTTCATCCCTCGATCGCAAACGGAGCTGTGAATAAATTAGATTTAATCATTTTTTTTTCAATATCAGTCGGCCAATTTAAACTTGCGAGAAAACAAAGTCTGGGGAAAGAAGAGATTGACTTATTTGTATAATATTTATGCTTTCTCGATTTGCTGAAAAAAGAAACTTTTCAAAACTCGAGTAACTTAAAGTATCGATTCCGATGAGACGACCGCTGTTTTTCCTCTTCTCCGCCGAAAAGAGCATACGCGTGCGCGAGACACTTTGTAAATAAACTGCGCAATACTTTTTAGCAAAAGCGACAAGACGATGGAGCAAAACGACGATGGCAAGAGGATCTGACGGAATGATAGAGCCATCGGTGACGCTGCTCGTCAAAGGCTCGGGATAAACGTGACAGCGGCTCACCGATCCATTTTGTGTGCATGTCCATGAATAGCGAATCCATCAACGACGAGACCATCGAGGACAGATTCCGAGCAAATGGCGATACCTTTTAAGCTGCGAAAATAACTCATTCCGCTATCCGGCTATTCTATCGAGCGATTTAACGCGGCGCGTCTAATTTAATTTATGTGTTTACGAATCCGCGGACTGAGTCGAGGCGAAGGGAGATCGATACCGATGGACCGCGAGCTTTGACTGGAATGATTTGTTGGCCAACTGCCATCGTCGTAATTCTATTTTCACGGAGATACGGGTCCAGATGCACGGTGCAGCCGCGAGACCGTGAAATTTGCACGTCGGTCATGCGGAAACTAAGAGAAAAGGGACGTATTCCGGATGAATTTCTTGCGAAAGATTCCTCGCTGAAAGATTTCTTCTCAGTGATCAGCTCGCCAATTGATTCTGGCTTACAGTTTCATACAAAAAGACACGTTCGAGATAGAAATATCACAGGCAGAACGGAAATTCGAGATACTGATATTATTTGAAATAATATTAAAATTTTGAATGTGCAGTGAGTGGAGCAACATAATTTGGATTTATGAAATTTCTGAAACGCGCGCGCATGTAAAACTCGAAACAAACGAAATGGAACGTAAAATCATCTAATTTAATGTGTTAAAAATACAACGGGCAGAGTTCGTGTCTCTCTACGAACTTCTCTCTCTGATAATACGACGAAGAGAGAAAAATGGATGAGATAATTGAAATTTTAAACGCTTCAACAATCAAACGCGGAACTGCACTGCGTTTTATCGCTCGCCGTGCATTCGCAATTAATCAGAGGAGTTCAACGGCTGATAATTTAATAACGATTGAATGAAGGAAATTTTAGGGCTTCGCGGGAACGAATGCACGAGCAACCTCGATCGTACGATCGCGTCTGTCCTTGTCGTGCCATCTTATTAGGAAACATCGTGCAATCGTCACATACAGGATACAGGATGTTGATATGTCGGTTAGAGATAGATTCGTATATCGGAAAACCGTGGACGATCGTTAATGCGTAGGAAAGCTGGCCAGGCGCCAGATAACACGCGGAGAATCACAATTCCTCGTGTTTCGTTTCACGTCAAATTCAAAACCGCCAAATGTTGGGTAACGCGAATAGAATACATAATAGCCAACAAGAAATATATATTGCGAAAAGTTCACCTTATTTCAAATCGCAAGTTTATCTAAATAACACAAATTTGCTCTGAACATTACGTTTATTTCCTTTCAAAATCATTAAATGATTATTCTCGATTTTTTTTTTAAATTTAAAATATTTATAAAATATTTAATTTATTTATTAAAATATCTTTATATTTATGCCGATTAAACGTCGTATAATCTATTTATATTATTTATTATATAATATACTTGTGTGTAATATGTTTTATTCTTGATCGCTTTGACAATAGTGGATCGATTCGATAGCAAAGCAAATGGATCATACGTGTTTCGGATTAGTATCAAATCTTTTTTCTTAGTTTCTTAGGTTACAGAAAAACTCTATCAACGATCGATTAATCTTATAGTGTCTACGAGCTCGATAAGCCTCGAGCCATTAACTCGTGGCTGATAGTTGTCAAGGAACGATCGGTCTCCCACCGATCGACGAGCTATCAATCGTGACCTTCGCGGTAGATCGCGCAGAATGGTTTCACATCGAAGACTTACGATTAGTTTTGTTCAACAGGAAAGCGCTCCTCTACCACCTGCTGATCTTAATAGAATGGAAATTGGATCGATTTGTCCTGACGTGTAGATACGAGAGAGGGTTTGAGGTAAATGGAGATAGTTGCGGAGGCGTAAAATTGGACGCGAAAATATCGGCTCGGTTTCGCAACTCGGGTAAAAATTAGGACAGGCCGCATCGAATTCGAAAGAAGTGTCCGACTCGAAGTCGGCCTGCGTCCCTCTCAAAATAAATCGGCGAAACCACGAACACGACGCTTACGTAATGCGTTCCCTCTTTTTCCGTATATATAGATCGTATATATCGCTCTACATTTATCATTCCAGTCTGGCGTCAGGAGATGCTTCACCTTGTCTTTATCGTTTTTCTTCTACTTAGATATCCCAATTATAAAATAGAAAATATTTCATATGCAAAAGAGACTGCAAGTTTGCGAGAAATCTATTTAACGGTTCTCTTCTTTCTTTCTCTTGTTTGTAATATTTTCTTTTCTCCTCTCTTTTGTCAGTAATATTTTTCTTAAAAATGTATAATTTATGTAAAATAAAATATAATATATAATATATATTTAATTTTCTTAAAAAAAAATTTCTTTACATATTTCTTTTCGTATTTTATAAATGTCCTCATAAAGTGCAATCTTATGAGCAACCTCTGATACATATAAAATTTTTCCTAAATGTTAAATTAGTTTAAAAATATAATTTTATAACGCTTTTCTCGTGTGATCGTCAAATGTATTTGTTTTTATCATTTCAGGTCGAGTGTGATTCAAAGGTTTCAAACATATTTCATTTTTGCAACCTGCCAATAACGCCAATCATGGAGATACAGACTGAGGTTAGTAAGCCAATATCTATAAAATGTCTCGCGTTTGTGGCACTATTGTTAAATGTTATTTTAAAAATAGATAGAATTTGAGCTTTTCTTCATGATGCACGTATATGTACGCTTTTATTTTCGTTTTTTAACTGCGTAGAAATATATTTATAAATTACTCGGACTGCAAAAAATAAGAATGAATTTTTATCAATCCTTCAATGTGGACAATTTTCAATTTTTATAATTTTTTTCCGAAAGAATATAAAATAGAGCCTTTCTCATATATGTAGAGAAATGTAAAGAGGTAGATTCAGCATTATTATATATATTTGTATTATGATATAATTATATATTTTTCATTACATTTATATTAAAATATAATTACATTTATGTTAAAATATATTATTGTGTTAAAAAATAACAAGTAAATCAATAAAAAATAAATAAATAAAATAAATAAAAAATTGAATCTCAGATTATTATATTATTATGAGATGATTTTTCATATTATTATAGATAGATATATATATGATTCACACACATAAATATAACATATAAATCATTTTTTATTATATTATTTTAAATACTATAATGATATTTCATCTTAATAATTTTATCATATGTGTGAATTATAATGTACGACGATTGACATAGCTGTTCGATATACGAAGGGAAGAAAAAGTAACCTAGCATTTTTCTCTTTCTCTACTAATATTTGTAGTGCCAATGTTATGAATCTACCTCTTTATATATGTATATAATATTTCTAGACAGTGTTTGTTTGTCAAAACTTTTATTGTAACTTAAAATTTTCTTTTAATGTAAAATTGAACTGTCTTTACATTTTAAATAATGATGACAGATTTTTGCACGTGGAATAAAAGATAAATTCAAAGATAAATTCAAAAATTCTTTAAATTATAATAATTGTAAAAAGTAACAAAAAATTTTAATTAACGTACAATTACAAATCATTATAATTTCACATTTGTTTCAATTTAAATAATTTATCTGCAATGATCCTTTATTCTCGCATTGTTTTATAAATAAAGCAAATTATTATTCGCAATCCTTTGTGTCATTCTGCTTTTAATTTGTGGAATATTTGTGAAAACTACAATGTATAAACTCAAAGTTCGAAATACGCAATGTTAAAGTGCATAACAATATTTAAAATTGGTATTAAAAGAATTATTAAAATTGTAAAAAATTGTAAAAATTGTTAAAAATTGTAAAAAAGATATTTTCTCAAATTTTTCGAATTTTTTTTGGATAGTATTGAAATTTACTGAAATTTATTTAATAAAAAATAACAATGTAATTATTGTAATAAAAGATTGACTATAAAAATATTTTTTAAATTCGATATTTTCTAGAATTAAATTCTCTATAACAACAATGTAATTGTACATGCATAAAGTACTATAATACTGTTTCTCCGGGAAGAAAATGTATTCTTTGTAAACGTAAATTAATCTAGAAGTTTTAATAAGTCTTTAGAAAATTACAGATTGTTTCAAACTCGCATGAATCCTGTTTTCTTAGTAATATTCCGTCGGTCTAACGATATAATGAAACTAGAAATAGTGTATTATGTCGTCGTATCAAGTCGGCTTTCATTCAACGGTCGATTAACCGATATTTCCTCCCTCTTCCGTCCTTTTATTCAACGTGAAATCCTTTCGCGCGCGCGAAATCGCATCGATGGTACTCATCAATCAACAACTCAACAATGTAAGATCTCGTAAAACGATCGACAAGAAGAAGAGACGCGAAGATAGATATAATGTTTCCTTGTATGGCAACGGAAGTCGTGCTATCGGTTGCGTCAAACTGTCACTATGCTCATGTCTTTTTTTCGTGAGGATCTTCCTCGGGCGCGCAAACATTTATTTATTCTACGAACCATCTTTTCTTATGCAAATTACGCATTGACGCAAGGACCGATATAACATTCAAGGATCGTTCATAAAAAGCGATATGACTAAACCGTGAATCGCGTCGACGGTGACATACATTAGTGATAGCATTTTGAAATTGCGCAGACCTTGTCGCGTTGAAAATAATTGAATTACTCATTGCAGAACTTAATTGTTTCTACAATTTGCTTTTTCTAAATTATATAATACGGGTAACAATAATTTTATTTTTTCACTTTCTAGAAAAATGACATCTACATATGTATATACATATAAGAATTAGCAAAAACGGAAATGATTTCGAAATTTTTATATTTTGTAGAAAATATGAAAGATACTAAAAAAGATCTATATACATGATATCAATGTCAAGTGAAAAAGTGAAAACTTTTGCCATCTCTTAAGAAAAGCTTCATCTCAAGTATTTTAATACACGACATTGATATTATTTGTAATATTAAAAAAATACGACTTATTTTTTTAAAAAAGACTTGTGAATAAATATTGTTTCTAAAAAAAAAGTGATTAAGTTTGAACATGATTCTAATTGCTCCGTAAATTAATTTAAAATTCTTCGTGATGATTGTGAAGTCTTTTAAATGTCTTTTAAATTGTTAAATGAATTAAAGCCAGTGAATTTAGCTACGTTTCAAAGTAATTTTTTGAATCAATTGAATTGATATTTAGTTTGAAATTTTTTTAATTAGTTATATTATTGTTCCGAATACTTCTTAATTATACACACACACACATATATATTTATTTATTTTTTTTTTTATTTTATTATTACATATTATATTTATTGAAAAAAATTTTATTCAAAATGGACAGCTCTAATGAAAACCAATAAATCAGCGGTTATATATGTATCGTTGCATTGGTATAACAATAATATATCATATTTTTCTTATTAAAGAAACACTTCATATAAAATTTATTTACTTTATTATTACTTTATTTTTACTTATTCTAAAAATCGCATATTTTTAAATTTTAAAATAAAATCTATAAATTTTATATATTTTATATTATATACATTTTTTTAAATTTAAATTCCATATTACATTACGCGTCCAATTTTATATTACATCATGTATTATTTCAAAGTTGCATGTAAAATGCAATCGCACCGCAAAAATAAATGAGCAATTAATTTCACGAGTAAATATTAAATGATTTTTTAATTACTCACCTCGTGCTTTTATCCAATATCTTCCTGAGCATTTTCTCTTGCTTTGCCTTTTCTCTTGTTCATCCTTCGCTGTTTCTTCATGGCACACTCGCGAAAACATTTTTAATTACGATCGCGCGCACAATAATCAGTAGAATATGATTGTGCGATATTTTGCGCGGCACTCGCGGCATTCACTTAGTTATGTATAACATATATGTTATTATATCACGAGGAGAGCGATACGAAATAGTCACATAGTATATAGTAACATAAACGAACAATTATACAAATTAATTAAATTAAATCAGGCACAAAAAAATTCGTAAATTCTATATATTATTCTTAAGAAAACATAAACTTGTCGATTAATTTCGATCAAAATAAAGTATATGCAATTTAACAATAATAAATACAAATTTATGCGATAGAAATATTATTGATAAAAATAATTTATTAATAATGATTATTTCCGCTAAATAACGTCGCCATATTATTCGAAATCGATCTCTACTGTACTCGTTTTGTGTTAATGATCTAAATATAATATGAAAATGATTCTCTCTTTTTTCAATATCGCGCGATACTATGTGTCAATTTATTGATTAAGTCGCAATGAATCGACAGAAAATATATAATTTCAATATTTACAATAAGTGTAATATTCAATATTGCAAACGGTACATTTCCAACGCGAAATATGTGTATCATTAATCAACAATTGATGTATTATGTCTTTTCGTTGCTTGGGTAAATCGTTGTCGCGATGCTCTTTCCTGTTATTCGCGGTAATTAATCAATGTTACAAGTTATTGATCATAATAATTATAAAGAATAATCACGTTTCGAGAAGTAACACAGTGATATACAGAGTGATGATATACGAAACTTATTCATTCGAATCTTGCCGAATGATACCGAGATTATTACCGGAATGTAAACATAGCACTAATAATAATAATAGCGAACTATGCGTCATAAGACCGAATGCCTATTACTTGATATATTATACATTGCCACTCCAAAATATTTAATATCATGATAATTGTCGTCGCAAAATATTTAACGATATTACATAAAATAACTACGGAATACTATGATTCTAAAATTTTAATTTTAAATTAATTATTAATAAACAATTAATGTATTATGATTTCTTGCTATTTTAATCAATCGAGTCTGCGATTTGTACGTTTTACTACGCAGTTTTAAAAATTGATACGCACGGTTTAGAAAAATCACGAGTGAATTTTCATTTAAAACTGTGAAAAAATTAAAGCGCGATACAAGGTTTATTGGAATCCAAGCATTGTTAAAGAATATTAATGATAATTTATGATTAATATTTTCTGTCGTTTCCTGCTTATATAAAAGTAAGTGTATAAATGACGCGAAATATTTGTTCTAATAAAAAACAATTTTTAGTACATTTATGAATTGTTAATCGCAAAAATTAATTAATCGCGCATGAATTAATTAATCTGAAGAGAAAAGTAATTTTATAAAAGAAGAGGATGTAAATACACTTCCTTTAACGCGTACAAACGTTGAATAATAATGTCTTTTCATTTCTCTGCACGCACGCGTCGGACCTTTTCCCCCTCCCCTTTCATTCAGACAATCCCACTACACCAGCTTTTCCTTCCTTTTGAATAGTGGGGTGACCCCCCCATGACACTGACATACCAGTTAAGAAGTCAAGTGTGTAAACAAGGACGCGGCGCTATTTCTTACACGTGGCTATTTCTTACACGCGTCGTTATTTCTTACAAATCTTTAATCATTCGTAGCAAAATTGATGTGTTCATCTTAAAGAATAACGACACAATATAAAACATAGATTTGAAACGTCGATTTTTGCATATATTACGTTTTACATGCTGTGCTGTCATTCGCGTGATGAGATAAATTCGAGCAAGCAACAACGCAAATTGTTGCACGCATTTTTCGCTTGAATTTTTATTTTTCAGAACGAGTATATTAATAATTGAAATAATAATTTTAAAAAAATATTCTTTACAATTGCTTTTTATAATTATCACTATTATATTATTGATTGTCAGCGCAATTAATTAATTCTTGCGGTCAATGACGCGTAAGAATTGTATCGTGCGGTGACTACTATTTCATTCAGATAATAGAGAGACATGATTATATCGATCGATTATTAATACGTCCATTCCGCGTAGGAAATGTACTATGCTTGCAATATCGAATATCGATTATGTATTTTCTGTCGGTTTATCATGTTTAATTAGCTATTAATTTGCATAATATCTCATGGTATTACGTTAAAGACGTGTCATTACATATTTTTTGGTTATTAACGAAACGTTTGAGATACATATCGTTAATCCACTTGAATGGAACGCATTTAATTGATAAAAATAGTTAACGTTATTAATAAAATTTTAATGATTATTAATAATGTGTTATAAAAATTGTTATTTGTCAAAATATGTACTAATTTATTCGATGGAAATCTGTCGCACAAATTTAATTCTATTTTCGAATATTCGCTCATATTTACTTTTATTTTAAATTGTGTATTGATTCACTACAACGCGAAACAATAAAATTATTATTTTTATATATAAAATGCAAACATATTATCAACAGAAATAGCCACGGCAAGTGACACGTTGACCGTGTGATTTTCGAGTGAATCGATAATTTTCTCATCATAATATAATAGGTTTGTTCTTTTTTAGCTGAACTAGATCGAAATAGAATGAGGTTCATACATATTTAAATTCGAAAGAAGGAAAGAGAAAAAGAAAAAAAAAGAAATGCAAGAAGTTCATTTGAAAGGACAAGCCTTACAAAATATAAGTTGCATGAAATTTACGAGTGCAAAGTGATCGTCGTCATTCTACTGATTTGGGTGAGCGATTATAATTATTAAACTATTGTTTTCGCGAGAATACCATATAAGTGTCTTGTGACTACTATATAAGTATGTTACGACTGTGGAAGAGGAGCGAAGGATGAAGAAGGAGACAGACGAAAAACATCCAACGACTGTATGTATGGGATGAGTAATTTAAAAATTATTCAATATTCCTTGCTCGTAAAATTAATTGCTGTTCGCGTCATCCATATTTCATTATTGTGTAAAACAACGCACATAAATTGATTTAAATTTTAATACTTGGAAATTTTATAATACCTCTATCATATCACATATTTGTATTAATATTTCTGTATAGATATGTGTAAAATTCTCAACTTTAGATTTTTAAAAAACTTATAATGATCTAAATCATGTAAATCAAAATTAAATTTTTCTTCTCGAAAAATTTTCCTGATAATTATGCAATTCGCATATTTTATTAAATGTTTGAGGAACTTGATGAATGAATGAAAAATTTAATTACACTGATAATTACGTTTTTAAATAATTATTATTTTAAATATTTTCTTTTTATATTATTTTTCATATATTACGAACTGAATATTTCTACTGAAAGTAATGATTAATTTGAAGACGATTTTAATTCTTATAAAAGCGTATATATGTGCATGCTATTGTACATACCTATAAACGTAAACAGTAAACATTGACATAAGGTAAAAGCATGAATATGCCTTTAAGTATGTGCTGCAATGGCGATAAGTTGCTATTTGCTAAATGTATCGTATTCGTAAATAGTTATCACGCATGTTCTAGTGAGCAATTAATTTATTGATACGTTTAACGATTTATTAATTTATTGTTATATATCTCGAAATGTAAAAGGAGATATAAAAATTTATATTCTTATCAATTAACATTAAATATTGATCTAATTTTTATTTTTTAATTTTGATTTGTATAAATATGCAATACTATATTAATATCATCAGATATACTTTTTCGTGTTAAATATGCGATGAGAATATGAATATAAACAGATTCCAAATCGCTTTTATAATTCGCAATTGTTTATTCGATATTCATTTAAATAAAATTTAAAATAAATTGACTACATTTAGTGTAAAAAATATGTGGTGAAAATGTGGGTTAGTTTCGAAAAAAATCCTGATTGCCTCGGGATTGAGTTAGCAAGGCAGCTGAGCCAGTGTTAAAATAGAGAAGCTGGTTCCATAATTCAACATCGAAATCTTGTTACTTTCGGTTTTGATCTCACTCAATTTTATTTTCGTTTGCTTTGGTTTTTTTTTTACTTTTCGTTCTTTTATATCGAGCGTATACGTCACACAAAATATCCGAACAATAAAATTCGTTTTCTCTTTTCTACGTAATAAGATATTTCAGTAAAATGACAACTGTGACAAAATGCTTGAACTCTTTGAAAAGACAACAACGACACTTTGCAGAATTTTTGAAAATTTTTCGTGAAACGTATACAGCTGCTGCAAAGGTACTTTCGCGCCCAATTATTTTATTTTCCATGAATTTTAAAGCAAACTGCGCTTTTTACATTGCACGAATATCTTGTTTCACTCAGGTGGTGTGATGTTACTACCGTGAAATATTACGGTAACGTAGATATATGCTTTTTTGATGCGGCATAAAATTTCAGTGAAATGTAAATTCATGAATCTTCTGGCAATCGGACGCGTTTAATTGAATGTAAATTGACAGGTCACTATTTACCGGATCGTTTGATTTGGGAAGAGCCGTGTCGCATTCACGGCATATGGGAAACGTCGATTTTTCGCGAATAATCATCGATATTTGTCGCTCGTATTTGTCGAGCGCGATTTAGGAATGGTTTACGCATGCCATGCAATCAAATATAACAGTAAGAGAAAAATTATACCGAAAACACATTCGTCCTCATCAAATATTTTGCATTTGGTTTCCCTTCAATTAATATTTTTATGGTAAAATGCATTTGATTTTGCATTAAAGTAATTTTAATTGATATAGGATATATATTTTCTTTGTAACATTAATAATTGTTTTAACAATTATTTTAATTAAAATGTTGATTGACATTTGTTAGGAATATTTTGCGAACTTGTAATATATGATTAATCTTAATATGAATAATTATTTTATTTTTATCGTTTGATAAATGCTATATATATATTACAGGTTTCCATTATTCATTTCTATTATATCATTTATTTATTCTATTATATCATTTATTTAAGATCCTATCTATGATTATATAGTTAGATGAAATAAATTATGCGTTGCATAATTAAATGAGCAGCACCTTTTGTTCGGTTAGATCTGCAACGTAATCTCAATACTGCGACACATACCGTATGAACTAATTAATTAATGAATAAGTGGAGTGCTGTGTTGGCTGAGTAATAAATGTTATGCACTGCAAAACCGATAACGTCTGTCAGCTGGATACTGTATGCTTATTTATGACGTTATGAAGCGTGTCAATAATATATTTTTATGTTAATTGCACCTCAAGCTATAACGTTATTTAATATGTAACTATGTGTATGTAATATGTTTATTATAAGATATACGATATAAATTTAATATAATTTTTTTATTATATTTAAATAGAATATATTTAATATTATTTAAGTAAAATATTTAAATAAAATTCTTTATCGTTTTAATTAATTTTTCAATATTGCAAAAAGTTGCGTAAAACTTTACAAAAATTGCATTTTAGATATACAGTTTTTCCGTTAATGTGCAAGACATTTCAACGATCGGGAACAATTAATGTCGAGAAGAGAATTTCAACGTGATGATTATTCGTGTGATAAACTTTCCCGTGTACCTCGATTCCGAGGATCGAATATTTCTTCGTCCAGTGCATAAATAGCTTTGTCATAAAACGTCTCGTCTCATTATTTCATATCGCAAACGCCTTGACCGGATGCAATAACGTTCGTTTCTATGCAATAAAGTTATCACGAGCAGTCGGACCTCAATGAAGCGATTTCCGTGATAATGCGTTGAAATTCATCGCCAACGGCGACGATTTATATCCGTCCATCTCTGCGAAGTTTCACAGCAATCACGCATCGGGCGACAAAATTGAAGCGACGACGACCTTTACGAATAATCGGTAAATTCGCAATGTTGTAGCGAATATCGTGACAAAGAGCTAATGCAATCGGATGCGAACACAGAGAGATTATACAGAGAATGTAATGAAAATGTCACTAGATCAAAAGAATACAGAACGGAGGAAATGGAATTTCGCAATTGATTTTATAATCTTATCGTAAAATACATTTTCTACAAAATTATATTTTATAGTCGAGGTGATTCTAATGCATTGATTTAAGAAATTTTCGTAAGAAATTATACAATAAAATATATGACTTATTCGTTTTTAATTAATTATTATCCTTTTTTATTACCGCCTGTTTTAATCAATGTAAAACATTAATGTAAGTTAACTCTTGAATTTCTCTTCTTTGTCGTAAATCGTGACGCATGTTTAATAGTCTTATGGACTAAGTAAAGTTATTCTATAATGTGTAACAGCCATTTATTACTTACCTTACTTTTGTCACTGTAACTCATTAATATTCTGCGCGTCGTTTGCCGAACAGATGGCGGGAAACACGACGGTGGGTAGCACACTACTCGATGAGGAACTTCGTCGGATTATACTGGAACGCGAGCAAGAATGTATGAAGCTGAAAGATGCGAACACGACGCTGCCACCGGGTAAAGTATTTTCTTCTAATATTTGAAAATAAGAACAAAGCCCCGTGATAACGCTAAGCAATAATCCATCGCAAAAATCACGAAATCGCGCGCAAAAAGCGCACGCGTCTTCATTATGCATGAATTTTATCAGAGCTCCCCTCATTTACTTCGACCTGGCGGTCGATCGATTAATAGCGATTGCACGCTAATGTATCTCATTTTCGTCTGGAAATTAGACGGTTCGTTGTTAGGTCGAGTAGAGAGAAATGAAAGTATTAGCGTTACACGCGCGTGCATGTGCACACGCGATGCATTCGTCGAATGCACAGGCTATATCGCACGCGATAATTAACGCGAGATGTATTATGCATTATATCAGAAACATCACGCGCTGTATAATTAATTAAAAAAAAGTATATTTTAAATACATTCAAACGAGAAACGCTACTCTTAACAGCATTGTTCTCCCTGTGAAAACATTGTTTTCGCGAATGTCAGACGGAATAATATTATAATACGATCTCGGGGAATATCGCGAATCCAGAGGAAGGTAAAAAAATAAAATGGCACTTGTACAGTTCGTGTGACAATGCTTCTTCACTTGTTCTTCTTGAATTTAATCGCTGCGCTGTCCTTCCTTGCGGGCGATCCAAATAAAAGATTCTTCAATTTTCGTAGAACAAACAGCACGATAAAAAGTGCTACAATAATCACGGCCACGATAAAGGCATAAACGTCCAGTAGATTCAGTTGCCACCAATAGAGATCAATGGCCGGTGATTGAAGCACGTTTCCGTACTTTGCGATGTACTCTACCCAAAATATGGACGTGTTCAAGGCGTCCATCGGTCGATCATTGAATAGCTTTGACAATCTCTGTGCATTCTCGCTGAAACGTTTAAGAGAGAGAAAGGCATTCGTTATCGATATAGCAAGATTGATGTTTAATAAAAGCAATTATAGAAAAACAATTACTAAAGCGCGTAATCATACAATATTTGTTGGTCGCATTACAAAGATTTCTATTCGACGCGATACTTCGTTTTAATCTCGAAAAAAAATGCACGATCCATTTTTTGCATAAATTTTTCATCTTTCATCCTTTTTGTCCCGTCGAGTTGAAGTGTTTGTCCTTCGATTTTTATGCGCAAGACGTGTTTCATATGGATTCATGCAAATGGAACGGACGTGGAATTTTAAGGCACATACCGATTGACTAGAATTCACTCGCGATATGCATTCGAGGGTTAAGGAAGATTTGTCACAATAGAGAGCGCACGCTCTATTTGTTCGCATTATATGCAATCGGTCGCGGATCAATATGCACGAGCTAATAAGATTTAAAGCAGTGGATCTCTCGACTTTTGAACATGTAGAAAATAACTTTAGTTAAATTTAACGTGATAAAATTGCAACTGTTGAACAATTTTAAATAAAATTTATTTTCTTTAAACAAAATTATTTTATTCTTCAGCGAAATAAATTAACTGCGACAAAATTATTAAGCAAAATGCTAAAATAATTGATTAAACAAAGATTAATAATAAATAAAGTTAAATATAATAAATAAAAATATAAACGAAATTTAAAAATTTAAAAATATATATAAAAAAATTTAATTATATTATATATATATGCGTGTGTGTGCGTATGTTGTGTGTGTATCATTATAATATATTTAATAATTAAAAATAATATTTTACTATCTTTTAAAATATTAGTTAGCTAGCTAATGAGAAATTTTAACTTTCTATTTGCGGTTTCCACACGATCAATATTATGATTTCATTAATTTCGATTGAACACGTTATGATTAATAGATAATCTGCTTAAGATATTTATAGCACTTTGAATACTTACTAATAAGAGGGATCCTTCAAGATTTTATTCAATGCCGAAGTTAATTTCTCCTCGGTAACATCATATATTGATTCAAAGGCGACAGCCACCTTCTTGTTGACGTAATTTTGAATATTGATGTGTTGATCACCGAAAAGAGGAATACCTATCATAGGAACTCCACAATATATCGATTCTTGTGTTCCTAAGCCGCCGCCGTGCGTAATGAAACCACGTATGTGTTTATGTTCTGTGAAATATATAATTTTTTTCATTTACATTGCAAAATTATAATGAATTGGATGCGTTCAACAACAAATGCACAGCGCGTAAAACTAACAATGTAAATTTTAATTTAAAAAGTCAAAGAATCTTTTCATATAAGTAAATAAAGGATCGACTTTTTTTAAACTTTCAAAAAATATATTCCGTAATTTTGAATATTTAAATGTTTGTCGAATTTAACTTTTAGTACTCTTTTTCTTAAATATTAATTTTTTCTGAAACATGACAAAAATATTTTGCTTTTTAAGTATTTTTTATGTAATGTAAATGACTAAAATTTTGCAATCTCTTTCTCTTTTTCTTCCTTTGTTCGAAATTTTATATATATATATATATATATATATATATATATATATTTATATATATGTACATATATCTAGTACATATATTTATATATATGTACTAGAAACTCTTATATATGTCCGGAGATTATAAATTACAAAATTTTTACGAGAAAATTTGATCGAAAAATAATATTTCTAGTGAGATTATTCTTTCTGTGTGTTATTATAGTGTGCAAAGGCCGTGGAATTTTTAAAATGCAAATGATTCTAATGTCAATTACTAGGAAACAAATATAGCTTATATAATCATGCATAATGACCTGGCAATTGACCTAACAATAATTACTTACTTAGAACGGGAACTTGAGGAAACCAAGATTGCGTCATGACATTCTTCGGTAATCCTGGCAACAAATCTTCTTTTTTCGCGACCTTCATCAACACGCGAACTGGCGCGATCTTTTTGAAAGATGCGTAAAATTGTTCTATCACTTCCTTAGAGAAAGTCTCAAATCTTGCCATGGAACCGAGCGTAAAGTAAATACAGCCATCTTTGCTTTCGTCCAACCATTTTTGCACTTCCTACAATAAACTTTTTTTAGAGCAAGTAGTTTACGATAAATCATCCTGATATTATAAGCACTTAATATTTTCAAACATATCACGGAATAAGCGAATATTTAGATAGAATAGTTGTTTATAAACATGAGATATATTTGAAAAAGAGATCATTAAATTACGAAATTTATGATGAAACAATATAATTATTTTTTTATGTTTATTATTATAATTGTTATGCGCATATTTATATACGACTATCGGGAGAAAATGATTTCGTTTTTAATAAAAATTTTATGACATATGAGAGAAAGTACAAAATAGCGTACTCGTTATCACAATGCGCATCATATATAAATATTACATTTAATAAAAAAGTAAAATATATATGTATTTTATTTTTTAATCATTTTATCTTTGCACATAAAATCCCATTTTCTTTCTTGTAATAATTTCGAATAATTTTACATTATATTTATTTAAATTAAACAATAAATTTCATATTCTCTTTGTCAAATAATTATTTTATTTATAGTTATTCTTTTATTCTTTATTGGCTTTGAATGAAAAGAAGAAATGGATAGAATTGCATTTATAATAAAAAAATTGCATCAGATCTCATTATGCAGGAAGAACTAACATGCGTTATATAATTGAAGAATGATTTGAAAAAAGAGCAATTTTCATTTAAACATACCGGCGGCAACGTCTCGTCGTTGTTGATGTGCAAACCGCCGATTTCGATCACATTAGTGGTCATTGGCCTAATTCCGTGTAACGAGTGATGAGTATTGACAAGATACAAAGCTACGTCGCGATACAAATCCTTGATATGCGGCACATCTATACCAAAATGCTTTTTCACGAATTCCAATTGGGAATTCGTCTGAGAGTGTATTTGCTCTGAGATGTAGTGTGTTAAAAGTACGTTTGTCAATCGTTGCGTGAAATTCATGCGTTGGGTGTATGTCGTGAATAAACCTGGGATGTAAGCGAGATTAAGTGGATTGCCAGACACCTCGCTGAGCCAATCGTGAAAAACGCTAGCCACCGTAGCGACTATGGGAACATTGAGATGACGACCAAAGGCCAGGTAGCACGGTGCCACGAACAACTGTAAAAAATTGAAACACATTGTAATTTATCAATCGATTAATTATTCACAAACATCTCGCAGTCACATTCGCCAAGTCACGTGTTCCGCGACCAGAAGATACGTGATTCTGCATCCATTTAGCAATGTAGTGCATAATGCAGCTCGTATAATTGAGCTATACTGTATTAGTAATCGCATGTAGTTAAGTCAACTGTGATGTAACATAATGAGATGCGTCACTTGTAGAGAGGAGAAACGATGTGCCATTATGGCACGCTACTATGAGACGTGATAATGAGAAAAATAAATGTAACCAACATTTTAAAATGATAAGAGCAAGAGTAAACGTCATATTTTATGTTAATTATATCCTAAGGAATAACTCTCTCGATATATAGGGTGTTCCTAAATTTGCGAGAAATGTTTTAATGACAAATTCTTTGTAACATTTTGAGACGAAAATTCTAATACAAAAATGTCGAGGCTATAATAGTTTTCAAATGGGAAATGTTTAAAGATCACGAATGACAGGACTAAAGTTTCGCGTGCTCAGGGGTAGCACAATGGTTAATAGTAAAGATTCTTCCTCGAATCGAATGCTTTTGATATTGATGAAATTATTGTGAAAATATTCAAGAATTTTATTAAAAATCGTGATCTTTAAATTTTTTCCATTTGAAAACTATTAAAAGCCTCGACATTTTCGTATTAGAATTTTCGTCTTAAAATCTCACAAAGAATTTGTCATTAAAATATTTATCGCGAATTTAGGAACACCCTGAATAAAGATGCTGTATTTAGGACGCGTTCACACGCAATAAATCCTGTTCTAATAAATATGACGCTATGTTGAGATCTAAAAGTTCTTGTTGAATTAAAATCATTAAATTGCATGATTTAAATTTTATAATAGGATTTATCAAATTTCCGCATTTAATTACACGAATACAAATTCAAAAATACAAATAATAGCTTATTATAGCTTTTAAATATGTGAAAGGCGTTGAATAAAGCAAATTCAATGACGCAAGTACCATACAATTCGCATCGAGATTCAAACATTTTCGTTTGATTACGAGCGCGGAAATTTTATGTATCATTACATTTACCTCGTTGTAGTTGCATTTTCTGCTTTGTTTCATTCTTGAATCCCTCATATAAATGTTTAACCATTTTAAACATAGAAAGCAAAAGGTAAAAGAAAGAAATTACTTTTTATATAAGAGATATACTATTTTCATCATCATGAATTCTATCTTATGATTTGTCAGGTTAATATAAATATAAATCCTGTCTTATTAAATATGATGCTATATCGATTTAAAAATTCTTTTCGCACAGATTAAAATCATTAACGCATGATTTAATTTTTAAAATAGGATTTATCAAATTTCCGCATGTAATTGCGCGAATACAAATTTAAAAGTACAAATAATAGTTTGTTAAATATTGTGATTTGTGTTGAATAAGGCAAATTCAATGACGCAACAAGTATCATACAAGTATACGGTTTGTTTCGAGATTCAAATATTTTCGTTTTACTACATCGAGCACGATAATTTTATATATTATTACACCTAATTCTCGTTGTAGTTGCATTTTTTGCTTTGTTACATTCTCGAATCTCTTATATAAATATGTAATCATAGTTTAAACGCAGAAAATAAAACGGCACAACAAAGGAAACAAATAGATTTATTTTTATATAAGAGCTATACTATTTTCGTCATGATTCCTATTTTACGATTTGTCAGATTAATATAAAGATAAATGTATAATTACATTAAACGATAATGTAAATTAACTAATTTTTATTTTGTAATTTGTTATATGTTAAATATTAATATTAAATCAATTAATATAATTAATCACACTTTGATAAATTGTACGCAAACTTTTTTCACTGATAAAATATTTATTAAGTTAAATAGCAAATAAAATATTTATTATTTTAATGATGCAACATCCACTTTCATGACGAGTTATATTTCAATGCGTCTCACGTTCTTACGTCATAATCTAAAATTTGATTTAAGATTATACACGATCGATTCATTGTTACGTAAATGTATTATGAAACTTTCAATTCATGAGTTGTGTTAGTTAGCGAACTCAGACGCCGAAAAACCACCGTATGACTGTAAAACCATACACAAAAAGTGCACAGTCATAAGGCAGGTTCTGATAATGATCCCGAGTTACGTTGCAATATCGTCAATTTCGGTATAACCTAATCCGGCGTACTTTGATATTCATTAGCAAGAGATCACTTGAATTAATGGTTTTACTATGATCTTTACATTATTATTCATATTAGTATTATTGTTGTTGTCATCATTATTATCGTCATTATTATTATTATTATAGAGATAATGAGACAGGATTTTCTCTGTGCCGGAGGTTGTTTCTCTTGTTATATTAAAATGTTGTAACTTTAATAAAATCTAACGTTGTTTGTGGTTCATCATGAATATTTAATAATTAGTTAATAATTAATGAGAGCCTTGTCATATTACAGGATATGAGTTGTAACGTGAGCTAGTTAATTAACATCTCGTTAAAAGCTGTAATAATTTTGGTTTAATGAAGTGATATTTGCTTTTAGTCTAACCTCGATTTCAACTTTATTAATTATATATATATGTATCTGGCTTTGATGAAATAATCATTTAGGTTTAAATCAAGTCTTGATTAAACGATTATTTGATTAGATTTAGCATTTTTCTCTTTCTTCTTTACACGATAAAAATGCCGCTGTTATGGATTGATTGAATTATGTATATATCTTATCTTCTAATAACTTATTGAATTTAAATTGTAATTATCTTTCTCTTCTCGTCGATTAGTATTTTTTAATAATAATAATGTAATTCTTTTTTGAAAACTTTTATAATTAAAAAAGATTGCGTAGAATATTTGTAGCGTAAAAGTTAAATAGCCAAAGAAATACATGCGACATACTTATCGAAATGTTATGAGATACACTTTGACGATATATTGTTTTATTATTTTCACCAAATCATATTTAAATAAGATTCTTTATCAAATAGAAGAATTAATTTATTAATAAAAATACCAAACAATTTTTGCGTCTTATCAAGAAAAAAAATCAAGAAAAAAAATTCTTTGCGAATTAAGCTTTCAAAATCAAGAAAAAAAATTCTTTGCGAATTAACCTTTTGAGGCGCAAATCATTAATGGGATTTTATTCTGTTCATTTAATGTCAAGCAAATTTTATTGGCAGAAAAATTTTAAGTTTAATTTAGTGTTATAAAGATACTAATGTATTAAGAATTTTAAAACTGCAAAAAGAATAAAACAATCTAACATTTGAAAAAAAAGCACAAAATTTTGAAAAATTATCAGAGAAGATTAATATAGATTTGACCGGTTAAAGAGATAACATCCTATGAATATACATGTTAAATAATGAAAATTTTCTTATCACATTCACATAAGAATGAATAAACATGCACATATTTGATTAAAAAAATATCATCTTATAAATATAACATGTTAAATAATAAAAATTCACGTAAAAATGAATAAACATGCACATATTCGATTCATAAGATATGATCCTATAAATATACATGTTAAATAATAAAAATTTTCTTATTATATTCACATAAAAATGAATAACATGCACATATTCGAAAGAATCTTATAATAGTCATACCTCCATAATAATGAGGTCGTAAGGAGGATCCTGCGGCGGGTTCTTGATCAGTTCTTGTATCTTTGGGTGATCCATCAACTGACAAATCTGCGTTCCGCACATATATGTTAATGATGTCATAGATGTGGCACTAAATGATTTGACTTCCGTTGCGGTGAGATTGTTTACAACTTGCGGCATACTACCCGCCAAACTGATACTTGTATAATTAAGTATCGGCTTCTTCAGCGGGAAATGTGTAACCACGTCAACCTGATGACCGCGTTTCGCTAAGGCTTTCATTAATTCCTCTTGCATGATCCAATGACTTTTACCGTGTAATGGAAACATTCCGAGGATCCGGTAACCGTCAACAACTTGGTCACAAGTTAGGATCGCGAGAAAAATCGACAGTAGTAGCATGTTGATTTGATCGTCACCGTTTCTATACACCGTTTAATACTCGTTATATCGTTAATTTAGTCGACTTATGTAACTTTGATGTCTGAAAGAAGTAGCTAGCCAATTGCCACGAAGAATCGCATTATCTCTGAAAAACGTCACTCAATTGTACAAATAAGATAACACAATGTTTTTTTTGCGTACAATTATTGCATCCACTTATAAAGATAATTTATTGGACAAAACATTCACAGATCTATCTGTGATTGTTTTTGAAAGATAATGGATCGAACATATAATCTAAATAACAGATAATAATATACGGTGATCAGAATTTCCACTTGATTGTATGTATAAAGTAATGACATTAGTGATAAATGTAAGTCATTCTTGTCACATTTTAGAATATCCATAGAACTCTAAATAAAATATTCAAAGCAACACCTCTTTTTATTTTAAACTTTAAAAGTGTCTTTAGTTTTTATATGAACGAAATTAGTTGACGGAATAATATCCGCAACAGTCACTTTGCTCTTCAAATCGTATCTCATATTTCACAGATTACTATATCATATCAGTATGAAATGATTTACTATATCATATCAGTATGAAATGCGAGAAATTTCTTATTACGATATAATTAAAGAATTAAAGAAATTTGCGAATAGAGTTTATATATTTTTATTAATTTTTTAAGATAAATTTTTCTACCGTAATATAAATAAGAGATTCTAAGAGAAACACAATTAAATTTTGTGCTTGAATTTTTCATATGTATGTAGATGTTGTTTTATTTTTTTTCCAAAATTCTCTTTTCAAAATTATCAATTTTGGGGAGAACCATATAATAAATTAATTAGATAAAGAAACTTACAAAAACACTACACTTCGATAAGACAATAATTGTTTATTAAATTGCATTAATTGAAAGAAGCAATCTAATGCTATTCGAGATGTCGTTTATTTTCAAACACACATCACTCACAAAGAGCTTCACAACTATACTGACAGTCGTGAACACTGAGCGTTTTCTCGTCAGGAAAGATACATCAATGAAAGTAGTGGTGGTAGAATAATATACCTCCCATATTTCATGCGTGATGGACTTTAACCTTCTGGCGAAATCTATAATATAACGAGAACCTTTGGAAAATATCAGAATACAATCTTCATTTTATTTTTTATCTGAAGATCTTCTATTTTTTATCTAAGATCTTTTTTATCTTTATTCTTGATAATATAATTTTCATTTAATAAATTTATTCATATATTATTCGTATTTAGACAATTTCCAAAATTCATAAAAACTAATAATTTATAAATAAAACAAATTATATGTATATAATTAGCAATTGCTAAAATTATTACAATTTAAATTTTTAAAAAATAGTGCTTTCGAAATATCAATTTATGGTTTTAATTTTGTTCATTATAGTAAGAACACTATTATCATTAAATAACAATAATTCCAATTTAATCACTCGTAGAATAATCGCAGAATAAGGTTAAAAAAATAAAATAACATACACTTATACAGTTCGTGTCGCAATGTTTCTTCACTTGTTCTTCTTCAATTTAATCGCTGCGTTGTCCTTCCTTGCGTGCGATCCAAGTAAAAGATTCTTCAATTTTCGTAGAACAAACAGCACGATACAAAGTGCTATAATAATCACGGCAACTATAAAGGCATAAACGTCGAGTAAGTTCAATTGCCACCAATAGAGATCAATCGCTGGTGATTGAAGCACATTTCCATGTTTCCCGATGTACTCTATCCAAAATATGGACGTGTTCAAGGCGCTCATCGGTCGATCGACAAACAGTTTCGAAAGTCTCTGTGCATTTTCACTGAAAGATGCAAGAAAGAGAAAGGCACTCATTATATATCGATATAGCAAGATCAATGTTGCTAAAAGCAATTATAGCAGGAAACTCGAAATCGTGCAATCGTACAATATTTGTTGGACGCATTTCAAAGATTTCGATTTATCGCGAGATTTCGCTTTAATCTCGAAAAAAATGCACGATTCATATAATTAATGAATTTATTTTTCATATAAATTTCTCATCTTTTATCCTTCTTGTTCTACCGAGTTGTAGTGTTTGTCCTTCAACACAAGACGTATTTCATAAGGATACGAATGAAACGAGAATTTTAAGGCACGTATCGGTTGACTAGAATTCCCTCGCGATATGCATTCAAGAATTGAGAAAGCTTTGTCACATTAGAAACACACACGTTCTACTTGTTTCTCATTATATGCAATAGATTACGGATCGATATGCATCAGCTAATAAAATTAAACTCTAGGTAAACTGTTTCTCCTTAAATAAATTTATTTTATCCTTAAAAAAAACCAATGATAAACCGCAATAAAATTATCAAACAAAATGTTAAAATAATTGATTAAACAAAGATTAATAATAAATAAAGTGAAATATAATAAATAAAAAAATGAAAAAGTAAACGAAATTAAAAAATATATATGAGAAAAATTAATGATATATGTAAATGTGTAATCAAAGCTTTATATATATGTATGTATCATTATAATATATTTAATAATTACATAAAAATAATATTTTGTGCAACTTTTGAAATATCAGATATCTAGTTAACGAGAAATACTTTTCGTGTTTGCGGTTTTTACATGATGAATGTTATCATTTCATTAATTTCGATTGAATACGATTATAATTGACAGATAATTTGCTTAAGGTCTGACGTTTATAGTATTTTGAGCACTTACTAATAAGAGGGATCCCTTAAGATTTTATTTAATGCCGAAGTTAATTTCTCCTCCGTAACATCATATATTGATTCAAAGGCGATAGCCACCTTCTTGTTGACGTAATTTTGAATATTGATGTGTTGATCGCCAAAAAGAGGAATACCTATCATAGGAACTCCACAATATATCGATTCTTGTGTTCCTAAGCCGCCGCCGTGCGTAATGAAACCACGTGTGTGTTTATGTTCTGTGAAATATATAATTTTTTTCATTTACATTGCAAAATTATAATGATTGGATGCGTTCAACAACAAATGCACAGCGCGTAAAACTAACAATGTAAATTTTAATTTAAAAAGTCAAAGAATCTTTTCATATAAGTAAATAAAGGGATTTATTACCGATTTATCGACTTTTTTAAAACTTCTTATTTTCCAAAAACATATATTGTATGTAATTTCGATTATTTAAATATTTCAGAATTTGATTTGATTGTAACTCTTTTCCATAAATATTAATTTTCAAAATCATTTTCTTAGAATATGATAAATATATTTTATCTTTTAATTCAGTATTTTGCATCTAATATTAATGATTAAAACTTTGCAATGTTTTTCTATTTTTTTTTTTATTAAAAACTCTTATAAATATATTAGAAAAGTGAGTTATAAATTACAAAATTTTTATTACGAAAAAATTTGATCGGAAAATAATTTTTTTGTGAGATTGCTCAATTTTTATGTAAATGAATTATAGTGTGCAAAAACCGTGAATTTTTATCGCGAGTGACTCCAATGATAACTAAGAAACAAATATAATTTATTATTGTAATCTAGTAATAATTGATCTAGCAATAATTATTTACTTAGAACAGAGATCTGCGGAAACCAAGATTGCGTCATGACATTCTTCGGTAATCCTGGCAACAAATCTTCTTTCTTCGCGACCTTCATCAGCACACGAACTGGCGCGATCTTTTCAAAAGATGCATAGAATTGTTCTATTATTTCCTTAGGAAAAGTCTCAATCCTTACCATGGAACCGAACGTAAAATAAATACAACCATTCTTGCTTTCGTCCAACCATTTTTGCACTTCCTACAATAAACTTTTTTAAAACAAGTAATTTACGATAAATTATCCTAATATTATGGCATATAATATTTTTATACATCTAACATCACGGAATAAGCAAATCTTTAGATTGTTTCTCCCAAAAATAAAATATATTTAAAAAAAGAGGACAGATCATTAAATAATGAAATTTGCAATAAAGCAATATAATTATTTTTTTTTTGTGTTTATCATAATGTTATGCGCATATTTATATACGATTATTGAAAGAAAAAGATTTTGTTTTTAATAAAAATTTGTGACAGAGAAAATACAAAATAGCTCATTTGTTATCACAATGCACAGATCATGTAAAATATTACATTTAATAAAAAATAAGATACATATGTATATCTTATCTTTTAAATACGTTATTTTTGAACATAAAATTTCTTTTTCTTTCTCCTAATTTTCCTAGAATAATTTTACATTATATTTACTTGAACTTTCAGTTTCAAATTTTCTTTGTGAAATAATTATTTTATTTATAGATACTTTTTTATTCTTTACTGGCTTTGAATGAAAAAATGGAGTAGATAGAATTGCATTAATAATAAAAAAATCTCATTAGATCAATTATGCGCAGAAAGAACTAACATGCGTTATACGAATAATTTGCGAAGAAATCAATTTTTATTTTAATTTACCGGCGGCAATGGGTCGTCGTTCTTGAGATGCACACCGCCGACCTCGATTACATTAGTGGTCATTGGCCTAATTCCGTGTAACGAGTGATGAGTATTGACCAGGTACAAAGCTATGTCACGGTACAAGTCCTTGATGTGTGATACATCTATATCAAAGTGCTTTTTCATGAATTCCAATTGTGAATTCGCCTGATAGTGTATTTGTGCTGAGATGTAGTTTGATAAAATAACGTTTGCCACTCGTTGCGTGAAACTCATGCGTTGGGTGTATGTCGAGAACAAGCTTGGAATGTAAGCGAGATTAAGTGGATTGCCGGACACCTCGTTGAGCCAATCGTGAAAAACGCTAGCCACCGTAGCGACTATTGGAACATTGAGATGACGGCCAAAGGCCAGGTAGCACGGTGTCATAAACGACTGTAAATCAAAACATTGCAATTTATCGATCGATTAATTATTCACAATCATCTCGCAGTCACACTCGCCAAGTCATCAGTTGAATTATACTATTAATAATCGAGTGTAATTCAACTGATGCAACATGATGAAATGTGTCATTCGTTTAGGGGGGGGGGGGGGGAGAAGACAAAGTCCCATTATGGCACGCTGCTACTCAAAATAATGAGATAAATAGATGTAACGAACAACATTGTAAAATGGCAAAAACAAAGATATAAACGTTATATTATATATTAATTATACCATGAGATATATAGCTGAATAATTCTCTCGATACACAAAGATACTGTATTTAAGACGCGTTCACATAATAATCCTGTCCATAAATCTTGTCCTGTCAAATATACAATGATATTTCGGGATTCAAAAGTCCTTAATGTCGCTAATGACTCAAATCATTAACGTATGATATAATTTTTGCAATAGAATTTATCAAATTTTTCATGTAATTACGCGAATACAAATTGAAAAATATAAATGATAGCTTGTTGAGTATTATGTATTGAATAATTAATTAATATAATTTATCACACTTTCATAAATTATATGCAACCTCTTTTCATTGAAATATTTATTTTAAATAGCAAATAAAATATTTATTATTTGAATGATGCAACATGCACTCATAATCACGGTTTATATTTCAATGTATATCGTGTTCTTATGTCATATTCTAAAATTTTTTTTAAGATTCATTGTTACATAAATGTGTCATAAAACTTTCAATTCGTGAATTGTGTTAGTTAATGAACTCAGACGCCGAAAGACTACCGTATGACTGTAAACCACACGCAAAAAGTGCACAGTGATAAGACAATTTCTGATAATGATCTCAAGTTATCTTGCAATCGTAAATTTTGGTATAACTTAATTTGGTACTCTGATGTAGTACTATTCATTAGTAAGAGACACTTGAATTAATGGTTTAATCAGTGACCTTTAAATTATTGTTATTATTAATATTATTGTTATTGTAATTATTGTCACCATTGTCATCATCATTATTATTATTATTATTATAGAGATAATGAGACAAAATTTTGTCTGCCAAAGGTTGTTCTCTTGTTTATATATCTTGTTTATATATCTAAATTTAATGAAATAATTATTTAGTCCAGGTTTAAATAAAGTCTTGAGTAAACGATTACTTGATTAAATTTAACTTTTTTCTCTCATTCTCCATGCGTGACAAAAATGCTGCTATTCTGGATTGTTTGTTGCTATATAATGTATGTAGTGTCTGTTGTTCTAATAATTTACTGATTTTAAATTGTAATTATCTTCTTCTTTCCGATGATTAGTATTTTTTAATAATAATGATATTATTCTTTCCTAAATATGTTTGCGATTAAAAAAATGTGAATATTTTTAGCGTAAGAATTAAATAAAAAAGCACAAGGAAAACGTTGAAAATATACATAATGTTATGAGATACATCTCATCACAATATATAAAGTGTTTTATGATTTTTATCAAGTCATATTTAAATAAAATTCTTTTAATAAGTGGAAGTATTAATTGTTTATTAATAAAAATATCAAACAATTTTTGCATCTTAAAGAATAAAAATAAAAGTTCTTTGCGAATTAAACTTTTGATGCAAGTCATTAATGGGATTTTACTCTATTCATTTAATGTCAAGCAAGTTTTACTGAAAATATTAAAGTATTTAAGAATTTTACAACTGCAAAGAGCAAAATAATCTGACATTGAAATGAAAAGCACAAAATCTTGGAAAATTATCAGAAAAGTTTTAATACAGATTTGACCGGTTCAAGAGATAGCATTCTATAAAAATACGTAATTTTAAATAATAAAAATTTTTTTATTCATACAAGAGTGAATAAACATGCACATATTCGAAAGCATTCTTAATAATCATACCTCCGTAATAACTATGTCATAAGGAGGATTCTGCGGCGGGTTCTTGATCAGTTCTTGTATCTTCGGGTGATCCATCAGTTGACAAACTTTTATCCCTACTGTATAAGCAAATGATCGAATCAACATCATGCTGACTGCTATGTCTTTGAATGCCGTTGCGGTGAGATTGTTCATAACAGGCGGCATACTACCCGCCAAACTGATATCCGTATAATTGGGTATCGGCTTCTTTTGCGGAAAATGTGTGACTACGTCAACTTGGTGGCCACGTTTCGCTAAGCCTTTCATCAATTCTTCTTGCATAATCCAGTGACTTTTACCGTTATACGGAAATATTCCGAGAATGCGATAACCATCAACAACTTGATCGCAGATCAGAATCGCGAAAAGAATCGATAGTAGCTTCATGTTGATTTGATAGTCACTGCTTCTGCGTTTAATACTTATTATATCCAACTTATTTGACTTATATAACTTTGATTCATGTAAGAAGTAGCTAGCCAATTGCTAATTGTAAAGATAAATTGCACTATTTCTGAAATACATCAATCAATGTTACAAATAAAATGACACATCATTTTTTTGTAGAGATAAAATTTCATAGATTGCATTTAAAATAATATCTGGAATATTATAATCTGAACGATAGATTAACCCTTTGCGTTCGAGTATCGGCAAATAACCGCCCAAGCCTTTTTACCCTTGCGGACGCGTGTCGGCATATAGCCGCCCAATTGAGTTTACAGCTGCGGAGACGTATTATGAAGCGGCTCGCGTACGTCTATCTTTCTGAACGATAACATACGCGTGGTAGTATATATAGTAGACTAAAGAGTTAAGTTTTCTGCGCTCGTCGGGCGACTCCGACCGCAAAGGTTTAATAATGCATTGTGACTAAAATTTTCACTTGATTGTGTATACGAAATGATAACATTGGTGATAAGTATGATAATGTATAGTAATGTATGGTAATGTAAGTCATTCTTGTCTATCGTATTCTGCTTACTTTGTTATTATAAAACTCATAGAATATTCAAAGCTACACTTCTTTTTACTTTAAAATTGTCTTTTAGTTTTTTTATGGACGAAGTTGATTGATAATATCCGGAATTGTCACTTTGTTTTTCAACTTGTATTTCGTATTTTACAAATTGCTATCAGTATGAATTCCGGAAAATTTTTTATCACGATATAATCAAAGAAATTTGCGAATAAAGTTTATATACATTTAGTAATTCTTTAAGATAAATTTTTCTACCGTAATATAAATAAGAGATTCTTGAAACACAAGTAAGTTTTGTGTTTGAATTTTTCATGTGTACATGAATGTTGTTTTATTTTTTTTTCAAAATCTTCTTTTCAAAATTATCAATTTTGGGACAAAGAACCATATAATAAATTAATCAGAAGAAACTCAAATTCACTTACTGTTCGATAACACAATAATTGTTTTTTAAATTGCATTAATTAAAAGAAGCAATCTAATGCTATTCAATATGTCGCTCATTTTCTGACACACACATTACAAAGAGTTTCACAACTGTAATGACAGTGGTGAACACGGACTGTTTTCTCGTCAGAAAAGATAAATCATAATGAAAGGAGTGATGGTAATGATATATCCGATATTCCATGTGTAATGGACTTTAATCATCTAGCGCAATCTATCTCATAACGAGAATTTTGCGAAATATCGGAGTACAGTCTTCATTTCATTTCTTATCTAACATTCTTGATAATTTTTGTTCAATAAATTTATTCATACATTATTTGTATATGGACAATTTCCAAAATTTATACTTTAAATAAAAACTAAATAACACAAATTATATGTAATAATTAACAAAATGTCCAATTCTTACAATTTAAATTTTTATAAAATAGTCCTTTCGAAATATTAATTTATGATTTTAATTTTATTGATCATAATAAAGAAGCTATTATCATTAAATAATAATCACCCATTTAATCACGTAGAGTAATCGTAGAATAAGGTAAAAAATAAAATAATACACACTTGTACAGTACGTGTCGCAATGTTTTTTCACTTGTTCTTCTTCAATTTAATCGCTGCGCTGTCTTTCCTTGCGGGCAATCCAAATAAAAGATTCTTCAATTTTCGTAGAACAAACAGCACGATACAAAGTGCTATAATAATCACGGCAACTATAAAGGCATAAACGTCGAGTAAGTTTAGTTGCCACCAATAGAGATCAATCGCTGGTGATTGAAGCACATTTCCATGTTTCCCGATGTACTCTATCCAAAATATGGACGTGTTCAAGGCGCTCATCGGTCGATCGACAAACAGTTTTGAAAGTCTCTGTACATTTTTACTGAAAGATGCAAGAAAGAGAAAGGCACTTATTATATATCGATATAGCAAGATCGATGTTGCTAAAAGCAATTATGGCAGGAAACTCGAAATCGTGCAATCGTACAATATTTGTTGGACGCATTTCAAAGATTTCGATTTATCGCGAGATTTCGCTTTAATCTCGAAAAAAATGCACGATTTATATAATTAATGAATTTATTTTTCATATAAATTTCTCATCTTTTCCTTCTTGTTCTACCGAGTTGTAGTGTTTGTCCTTCAACACAAGACGTATTTCATATGGATACGAATGAAACGAGAATTTTAAGGCACGTATCGATTGACTAGAATTCATTCGCGATATGCATTCAAGAATTGAGAAAGCTTTGTCACATTAGAAAGCACACGTTCTACTTATTTCTTATTATATGCAATAGATTACGGATTAATATGCATCATTTAATAAAATTAAACTCTAAGTAAACTGTCTCTTCTTAAATATAATTATTTTATTTTTGAAAAAAAAACCAATAATAAACCAACAGCAATAAAATTATCAAGCAAAATGCTAAAATAATTGATTAAACAAAGATTAATAATAAATAAAGTGAAATATAATAAATAAAAAAATGAAAAAGTAAACGAAATTAAAAAATATAAAAATATATATGAGAAAATTTAATTATATATGTAAATATGTAATCAAAGCTTTATATATATGTATGTATTCATTATAATATATATAATAATTACATAAAAATAATATTTTGTGCAACTTTTGAAATATCAGTTATCTAGTTAACGAGAAATACTTTTCGTGTTTGCGGTTTTTACATGATCAATGTTATCATTTCATTAATTTTGATTGAATACGATTATGATTGATAGATAATTTGCTTAAGGTCTGACGTTTATAGTACTTTGAGCACTTACTAATAAGAAGGATCCTTTAAGATTTTATTTAATGCGGAAGTTAATTTCTCCTCGGTAACATCATATATTGATTCAAAGGCGACAGCCACCTTCTTGTTGACGTAATTTTGAATATTGATGCGCTGATCACCGAAAAGAGGAATGCCTATCATAGGAACTCCACAATATATCGATTCTTGTGTTCCTAAGCCGCCGCCGTGCGTAATGAAACCACGTGTATTTTTATGTTCTGTGGAATATATAATTTTTTTCATTTACATTGCAAAATGATAATGATTGGATGCGTTCAACAACAAATGCACAGCGCGTAAAACTAACAATGTAAATTTTAATTTAAAAAGTCAAAGAATCTTTTCATATAAGTAAATAAAAGTAAAAGGGACTTATTACCGACTTATCGATTTTTTTAAAACTTCTTATTTTCCAAAAACATATATTGTATGTAATTTCGATTATTTAAATATTTCAGAATTTGATTTGATTGTATGTAACTCTTTTCCATAAATATTAATTTTCAAAATCCTTTTCTTAGAACATGATAAATATATTTTATCTTTTAATTGAGTATTTTTCATCTAATATTAATGATTAAAACTTTGCAATGTTTTTCTATATTTGTGTGTTAAAAACTCTTATAAATGTATTAGAAAGTGAATTATAAATTACAAAATTTTTATTACAAAAAAATTTGATCGGAAAAAAATTTTTTTAGTGAGATTGCTCAATTTTTATGTAAATGAATTATAGTGTGCAAACACCGTGAATTTTTATCGCGAGTGACTCCAATGATAAGAAGACTAAGAAACAAATATAATTTGTTATAGTAATCCAGTAATAATTGATCTAGCAATAATTATTTACTTAGAACGGAGATCTGCGGAAACCAAGATTGCGTCATGACATTCTTCGGTAATCCTGGCAACAAATCTTCTTTCTTCGCGACCTTCATCAGCACACGAACTGGCGCGATCTTCTCGAAAGATGCATAGAATTGTTCTGTTATTTCCTTCGGAAAAGTTTCAATCCTTACCATGGAACCGAACGTAAAATAAATACAACCATTCTTGCTTTCGTCCAACCATTTTTGCACTTCCTACAATAAACTTTTTTAAAACAAATAGTTTAGGATAAATTATCCTAATATTATAAGCATATAATATTTTTATACATATATCACGGAATAAGCAAATCTTTAGATTGTTGCTTCCAAAAATGAAATATACTTAAAAAAAAGAGGACAGATCATTAAATAATGAAATTTGCAATGAAGCAATATAATTATTTTTTGTGTTTATCATAATGGTTATGCGCATATTTATATACGATTATTGAAAGAAAAAGATTTCGTTTTTAATAAAAATTCATGACAGAGAAAATACAAAATAGCTCATTCGTTATCACAATGCACAGATCATGTAAAATATTACATTTAATAAAAAATAAGATATATATGTATATTTTGTTATTTAAATACGCTATTTTTGAACATAAAATTTCTTTTTCTTTCTCCTAATTTTCCTAGAATAATTTTACATTATATTTACTTGAACTTTCCATTTCAAATTTTCTTTGTGAAATAATTATTTTATTTATAGATACTTTTTATTCTTTACTGGCTTTGAATGAAAAAATGGAGTAGATAGAATTGCATTAATAATAAAAAAATTTCATCAGATCTCATTATGCGCAGAAAGAACTAACATGCGTTATAGGAATAATTTGCGAAGAAATCAATTTTATTTTATTATACCGGCGGCAATGGATCGTCGTCCTTGAGATGCACACCGCCGACTTCGATTACATAGTGGTCATTGGCCTAATTCCGTGTAACGAGTGATGAGTATTGACCAGGTACAAAGCTATGTCGCGGTACAAGTCCTTTATGTGTGACACATCTATATCAAAGTGCTTTTTCACGAATTCCAATTGTGAATTCGTTTCATAATGTACTTGTGCTGAGAAGTAGTTTGATAAAATAACGTTTGCCACTCGTTGCGTGAAACTCATGCGTTGGGTGTATGTCGAGAGCAAGCTTGGAATGTAAGCGAGATTAAATGGATTGCCGGACACCTCGTTGAGCCAATCGTGAAAAATACTAGCCACCGTAGCGACTATGGGAACATTGAGATGACGGCCAAAGGCCAGGTAGCACGGTGTCGCAACAACTGTAAATCAAAACATTGCAATTTATCGATCGATTAATTATTCACAATCATCTCGCAGTCACACTCGCCAAGTCATCAGTTGAATTATACTATTAATAATCGAGTGTAATCAATGATGCAACATGATGAAATGTGCCATTCGGATAGGGGTGGGGGGAACAAAGTCCCATTATGGCACGCTGCTACTCAAAATAATGAGATAAATAGATGTAACTAACAACATTGTAAAATGGCAAAAACAAAGATATAAACGTTATATTATATATTAATTATACCATGAGATATAAACTGAATAATTCTCTCGATACACAAAGATACTGTATTTAAGACGCGTTCACATAATAATCCTGTCCATAAATCTTGTCCTGTCAAATATACAATGATATTTCGGGATTCAAATGTCCTTGTCGCTAATGACTAAAATCATTAACGTATGATATAATTTTTGCAATAAAATTTATCAATTTCCGCATGTAATTA